GAATTTCTGTAATGCTGTAATCTATGATTTTTAAAACAGTTTTAATAAAATAAAATGTTAAAAAAAAATGAAAGGAAGAAGACAAAATCGAATTTATTGATACCGTTAAGCAGTCGCTTGCCCCCTCGTGACGTTGGATACGATCCAAAAATCAAAACAATTCTAACTAAACCGGTAAATACGCCACCGTTTTAAAGAAAAGACAAAATCGTGGTTAACTAACTAATTCACACATTGATTTAGTACCGGTTTGGACCGGTTTATGTTTTTATCGGCCACTGGCTCTGTATCGTTAGAGAGAGAGGGACAGATCTGTGAAGTTGGGATCTTTCTTTTCACTTTCTTCGTTGTCTCTCTCTGTCTAGACGCTTGTGCTGTGTTGTGTGTGCCCACTTTCTCTCTCTACCGTTTTCTTTTCTCTCTCCTCACACCAATATTTCTGCAATCTTTTTTAGCTGATTTCAACTCTATTTTAGCTTCAATTTCAACTTTTTGATCTCTCCTAGCTAATCTTTCTGGGTCTAATTTTGCTTTCTATTTCTGGGCATTGATCTAATTAACGATTGAAGCAAAAAAAAAAAAAAAGAGAAACCTTGTTTTCGTTTTCTAGATTTTTCTCCAAATTTCTCAACTACTGTAAAGAAAGAGTTTTTTTTTTCTTTTCTTGACGAATCCAAATTTCAATTTGCGTGTGGAAGACAAAAAAAGAAAGAAAAAATGGTGGTGAAGATGATGAAGTGGCGGCCATGGCCGCCTCTAGTTACGAGGAAATACGAGGTGAAGCTTGTGGTGAAGAAGCTGGAAGGTTGGGATCTGGTGAGGGAGAATGCACCGGAGAAAGAGAAATTGACGGTGGAGATTCGCTGGAAAGGTCCTAAGGCGACATTGGGATCTCTGAGGAGGACGGTGAAGAGGAATTTGACGAAGGAAGCATTGGGAGAAAGCGACGTCGTTTCATGGGAAGACGAAGAGTTTCAGAGCTTATGCTCTCTCACTTCTTACAAGGATACTTTGTTTTATCCATGGGAGATTGCTTTCTCTGTCTTCATCAATGTAAGTGTTACAAAACAAAATTTAAAGGGTTTGTTTAACTGTTGGATTATCAATTAGTTTCGAAGATGTAGATTCAAATGTTGAACTCGGGAAATGCTTAATTAGAATGTAGATTCTACAACATTAGCTTGTATGATCAAAGCTAGAGACTTTCTGATGTATTGATTTGGTACCCATTAGTGTCTCAATGGTGTTCTCTGTTTTGATTTACCTGATTCTAAAAAGACTTGAGATTGAGATTCTCTGGTGGTGTTGTTAGCTGTAATAGA